GGAAAAAATGAGAATCAAGGCCTATTATGTAAAGGTACAGAATCCCAATGATGAATGTAACTGTATTGTATACCTAGATTGTACCAATAACTTCAATAAAAAAAAAAAAAAATTAAAAAAAAAAAAAAGAAGCTTAGAGGGCTGAATGTGTCCAAGCTGGTTCTGTCTTCACTATATGGTTTCTTTGATCCTCATATCTGGCTTTGGCCAGGTATGGTTTTTGCCTTTATGGGACTCTTCTGATTCTATATAAATTTTAGCACAATTTTCTAGATTTCTCTTTTTTTTTGAGACAGGGTCTCACTATGTCATTGAGACTGACCTGGAACTCAGTATAAGTCCAGGCTGGTCTTGAACTCACAGTGATCCTCCTGCCTTTTTTGCTATCTTGACCTTGGCCATTCTTTCTAAACTGAGATGGAATCTCAGTGTTTCTTTAACTCACATCTCTCTGATGCCAGAGATGTTGGGCATTGTTCGGGGATGTATTGGCTATTTGGAGTCCTCATGACCTGTTTCTGCTCATCCCTCTTGCGTATGCTTTCAATGGATCCTTTACTTTGGAGTATCTGGGTTTGTGTTTGTGTGAGGACCAAGTTTCCAGGTCACGGTGGGCTCCATGCCCCTTACCCAGAATAGAGTAAATGCAAAAGTTCCTTTCTGAAAAATGCCACTCTATGTGACAGTTTCCATTCTATGTGGCAGTTTCTCTGTGCTTTAACAATGGCAGTTCCTCTTTTAGGGCATCTCCACCCTGCTTCTGTTCCTCTTTTTAAGAGAAGCTTCTTTTTGTAATTCAATTAATATAGGAATTAAATATAGTTGATATAAAAGCTTCTTTTTGGGTGATCTAATCAATATAGGAATTAGTTATAGCTGATAGAGGCATTAATTATAGTAGATACAAATAGTAATATATCTTAGCAAAAGTCAGAAAAGATGAATTAATTGTCTAATGAAAAGAGGAATTAATTCTCTAAAGGCCTTAGGTAACTTTCCAATACGTACCCTCCCAGCACCCCATAATAAATTTGCAAATGTAACCATTAGGACATGTTCCAATGTGCCCTCCCGATCCCCCTTGATGACAAGGGAAAACTAAAAATAGTAACAGAAAAATCCTACATAAACTTGGTTCAAAGTTGAATCTGGGCTCTCGGTCTGAAGCCACTGTGACGGTGACACCTGAGAGTCCAGGCTTGAACTTGCAATAAACTCCTCTTGCAATTGCATCGGACCTGACTCCTTGGTGGTCTTTGGGGACTTCGCGACTTGGGCACAACATTTGTCTGTCTGTTTGTTTGTTTGTGTGAGTTTTCTATGCTCTATATTGTATTTATTTATTTATTTTTTGCTCTATATTTTAGTTGCATGACTGAGGAGTGGCTGGTAAGAGCTTTTGCTCATTTTGTAGCTTGTGTCTTCAATGTACTTGGAATTTTGTTCGTGCTCACAA